AACTCACCGAGCGCGTGCCACTGCTCGCAAAGTGCCGATTCGCAAACGTCAGAGTAAGGAACAACAAACAGGCGTATCTCGATGTAATGGGTCATTAAAACCCCCCGCGGCGGGCCCGGGCCATTGGCGAGGAGCTCCTTGGCGAGTGGTGGGCCTCCTCTTCCTCCTCCTCCTCCTCCTCCTCTTCCTCCTTCTCCTCCTCCTCCTCCTCCCTCCTCCCTCCTCCTGCTCCTCCTCCTCTCCGTCCTCCTCCTCCTCCTCCTCCTCCTCCTCTCCCTCCTCCTCCTGCTCCGCGGTCCGCCTGGATTTCTTGGATCGGCGCTGGGCCCCCCCGGCGGCGGCGCTGGCGCCGCCCCTGGCGCGCTCCGCGCCCAGCGCGGATCGGAGAAATCCGCGTGGAGCGTCGAACGTTTATATGCCGATGCTGGTGTTTCTGCCTCGCCCTCGTCGGGCGGGGCTGGGACGAGGAGAGATCCGTTCCAGAGCGCTCCGGAGCGCTCTGGGAGTGCTCCGGAAGGCCCCGAGGGTGCTCCATCACGCTGCGGGGAGGCCGCGGCGCCCGAGCTGTCCTCCAGAGCCGCCAGATCTCAGAGCTCCACGCTCCACCTTGCGTGCTGCTGTGCCCGCCCCGCCCTCCTCCCTTCCAAGCTTGCGCTGGAAGTAAAGAGAGAGAGAGAGAGAGACCCTCGACCTGTCCTCGCCCGATGTTCCTCCTCGCCCTGGCTCCGTCTTGCCTCGGCGCGGCCTCGCCCTCCGCGGAAGCCTGGCGGGAGTCGGACGGCGGCGGCGGGCCCGACGGCGGGCCCGCTTGCGCCACAGCGACCTTCAGCGCGAAGGTCGGGGCACCAGCCGAGGCGGGGTCGGGCAGGCTGCGCAGCGCGGTCGCCCCAGGCTGCCGCCGCCGCCACGCTGGTCGCGGCAGCCTCGGCGGCGGCAACTTGTGACGACCGCGGGACGGCCGCGGCGCCCGGCCCCGGGCCCCAGAGGTCGACTGGGCCGCCCTCGCCGCCGCCGTGGGCGCCACCGGCTGCGGCGCGGAGTCGGTGGACCTGCTGGCCCCGTGGGGGGCGGGGAGCCGCAGGGAACGCTGCGGGAGGGGAGGTAGGCTCAATCCTCCCTCCTCCGCCCTCCTCCCTCCTGCCTCCTCCCTCCTCCTCCCTCCTCCCCCCTCCTCCCTCCCTCCTCCCTCCTATCTTCTCCTCCTCCTACCTCCTCTTGCCTCCTCCCTCCTACCTCCTACCTCCTACCTCCTACCTTCCTCCTTCCTCCCTCCCTCCAAAAAACCCCAGGGGCACCCAAGTGGGCCCCCCCCCGGTCACCGAGGGGGACCCCCAGGCGTTGGGGTTGTGGTCCCGGGTCCCCCGCGGGCCGCCGCTGTGACACGGCCCTGGCTGTGAGGTCTAAGTTGGAAGAGTACACCACGGAAGCATGGGCGGCCAAAAGGGGCGCAGCAGCAGGAGGAATGGGGGAGAGGGGGGGAGCGACGCGAAGCACACGCAGCGGCGGGGGCGGCCCAGCAAGCGTCTGGGAGAGGAGCGCGGAGGGGGGGGGGAGCGGGGGGCGGAAGCGGTCGTGGGGGTGGTCGGGGTGGTGGCAGTGATCGCAGTGATGGTCGTAGTGGTAGTCATAAGGGTGGTGGTCGTGCTGGGCGTCGGCCGTGCTGGTTGCGATCGTGGTGGTCGCTTTGGTGCCTGGCCTGCCGGTGGAGCTGGAGGTCGCGGTGGTCGTGCTGGCGGTGGTCGTGCTGGTTTGTCGGTCTGCTGGTGGCCGGAGTGGTCGTACTGGCAGACGTGCTCATACGTGGTTCGTTGTGCAGGCTTTGAGCGTGCTGTTGGCAGTCGTGGCGGGATGCTGCCCAAGGGCGCTCAGCACCATCTCGGCGTTCCCCGTGTGAAGGGTCACCGAGATCTCCCGCCACAGGCGGCCGAGGAGCTCCCCCCGCTCGTCCTCCTCGAGGTCGGCGCCACAGTTGCGCACGAAGGCCGCCGCTCCCTCGGAGGGCCGCCCGCCGGCCTCGAAGGCCGTGGGGATCGGCTCGGGTCCCTGTCGCGGAGGGTACTGCGTCCTCTTGCTGTCGACCTCCTGGGCTGTTGCCAAGCCACTCCTGTGGGACCGGGCCTGCCTGCGCGGGGCATGGGTTGTGTGTGTGTGTGCGCAGGCCACGGCCCAGTCCTCAAAAATGTGGCGTCTGGTGTTGTGATCGACGATGGCCACGTTGAGCTCGGGCTCCTCGAGGCGGCCGTTGAAGAGGCGACGATCCCACCCTGGCACGTGTTGCTCAGCGGGGGCGGTATACTCAATACGGTTGTGCCGGTCATTCCTGGACCCCCCACTTCGCATTTCCTCGCGTGCCACCCTTTTCGGTCGAGCGGCTGGTTGCAGAGTTGCCCAGTGTCCTTGTTCTTGTGCTGGCACCGGGCTCCCTCTGGGCAGACGGGCATGTCCAGCCGCATCTTCAGGTTCGTAAGAAAGTGTTGGTCCGGCGGCGCGGCGTCGCCGGCGTGCCTGGGCAGCAGGAGGGACCCCGCCCCAGCGCCTCCAGCCGAGCGCAGCGAGAGGCGGCCGTCCTCGTCCAGCAGCGTGTCCAGGAGGCGCTGCTTGCTAGCCTCGGAGGCGGCTTTCCCCCAGTGCCCCTGCCGCTTGTGCTGCGGCTTCCGCATGTAGTCGAGCAGGTTTAGGGGCTCTTCTCCGAGTGCGCCCGCGTCTCGGAGCGCCTGCTCTGCCTGGGCGAGGGCCTGGAGGGTGCGCGGGCAGTGGGCACGAAGCTCCCCCAGGGTGCTGGCCCGTAGGCAGGCGGACACGTCGTGGAGGCACAGGGCCCAGCTGGCGGCGCACGCGGCCGGGGCGGTCTGAGCGGCCGAAGGGAAGGCGTATTCTCAGTCGGAAAGGCGCAGCGTGGCTCGCAGGCGCCGCGCATCGCCCAGGGGCTTCGCGAGGAGGTTCTCGATCGCAGAGAACAGTACGTCGACGAGCTCCCGCGCCCAACCCGTCTGCAAGTTCTCCCTGAGGTGGTGCGTGATGCATCCCCGCCCGCACGTGCACAGGAGCGTTTGTGTGACTTCGGCCGAGAGACCAGTCGCTTTCAGTTCTCGCAGCCTCGCGGCGAAGGCGTGCGCGCGGCCCACTGCCGCGGCGCTGTCGGCTCCGGCGTGAACGAGGACCCTGTTCTCTTGCTGGTCCACCCAGGGCGTGGCGTTCCCGACGCAGAAAAAATTGTCAACCCAGCGGGCGGCGAGTCCGTCTGGCAGCGGGGCCCCGCGGTCGGTTTCCTAGGCTTGCGTCGTGGCAAGGTTGGCCGTCAGGCCGAGGCGGGCGAGCTCTTCGGGAACCAGTTGCGACCCAAGGCCCCTGCCGCGGTGATCGCGAACAGGGCCAGGGGCAGAGGGCACCTTTGGTCCACCCCGCTTGTTGCTCGAATGGGCTCAGCGCAGTCGGTGTCGCCCCAGAACATGCGCGTCGTTTCCCGTCCAATCCAGCAGCGCGCCGTCCTGAGTCACGCGGGCGCCCAGGCGCGGAGGCTGCTCGATGTGATGCCTGGGCAGGCTGTTGAAGGCGCTGCTGCAGTCGAAAGCGATCACCACGCCCTGGGGGTTCGCCTCCGTGAGCGCCGACGTGCACTTGCGCATCACTTCGCAGCCTCATGACTCTCCCACTTCGTATTGGTGTGGCCCGCACGCGGCCTTGATGCCCCCCTGGAAACATCGCAGGCCGCCTTGGCGGCGAGGCGGCGCAACGCGCTCCCGCAAGCGATCGGCCGGAGGCCCCCGTTGCGTTTGCAGAAAGCCACCAGGCGCGTGCTCAGGTTGGCCCGCATGGCTTCAGGGGAGAGCACCCCGCACAGGAAGACGACCGCGTCAAGAGCTTTTTGAGTCTTGCAGGAGTGCGCGCCAGCGTTCACAACGGCCCCCGTTCGGCCCCGGCCCAGACTGCCGCAGGCTCCGGCTGAGGTGGCGCTTCACGGCCGCGGCCAAGTCGTTGCTGGCGTCGTCGTCGGGGGGCTGGAGGTCGGCTGCGCCGGGCGGGGCAGCCCCCGCGGGGGGGGGCGCCTGCAGGCCCGCTTGCAGCCCCGCCCCCGCGGCCACTGTGGCCGGCTGGAAGCCGCGGGCCATGGCCTTACAGACAAATCGACTACAAGAGTGACCTTTCGCCGGGGCGACTTTTGGCGCGGGCACAATGGGGCCCCCCGATCACCGATTACGTTGCGATAGTAGCGTCTTGCGCGCCCGGGCTTGGCCCTCCCGCGGCCCCCAAAAAGCCGCGCGCTAAAGGTCGCTCTTGCCCTGGGTCACTCTTGCGCGTAGAGCTCTCGCCGGCCAGCGCCTCGACCGCCTTCGCGCCCCTCCCCTGGGGGGGCGGTCGGCGCGCCGGCCCCGCCGCGGCGCGGCCCCAGCCGCTGCGCGTGCTTCCTTCCGGGGCGCGCCCTGGTCTGCGGCTGCCGCGGGGCGCAGGCTTCGCGTGGCGACGGCTGCGCGGCGCCCGCCGTTCTTCCCCGCCTGGCGCCCTCGCCTGGCCCGGCTGGGCTTGCAGAAGAGGACCTGGTCGAAGGAAGGCGAAGAGCTTCTCTGCGCATTTTTTGTTCAGGAGGTCGCGCCGCCGCTGCCGCTGGCCTGCAGGAGGCGCTCCGCCACTTGACCTCGAAGCTGCGCGTGGGCGGTCCCCACCGCGTTTTGGGCGTGGACCTCTTCTTGGACCCGTTGTGCGCGATGCGAATTCGCATAATTTGTGCATCATCGGTTCCGCTGCCATTTCAGGCTCCGCCGCGACAAGCGCGACTGCAGGGCGCTTACAGGCCCCCGGGCCCACTTCACCCACGAGTTGGCGCGCGATTTGTTCACGCAGTTTCTGTTCATCCGGTGGTGGAGCATATCAATGTGTGGCGAGGTGCGCCAATTAGGTTTTGGCGCTGCAATTTCAGCGCTTGTGGCCGCGCACGCCTGCGAGGAAAAGGATGCCAGGCAGGATGGGGGCTGTTCTTTCTTGCGCGCCCCGGCGCCGCCGGCATGGCGATCGAAGAGCCGCCCAGCTTCGCAGCTACGTTGGTTGAAATGAGCGAAGACGGATTACCAGCAGGGGCTGACGGAGCACATCGCCCCAAGGGCGCACGCCTACGATCAGCAGAGCTTCAACATTCGCAGTGTGAGTTTGATCCTTTACAGGAAGGACCAAGATGCGAAGATGGCTAACTTGATAAATCAAATGGAAGCCCAGCTGCAGCAACGTGATCAAGCCATGGAAGCAATGAGATCCCAGTGTGAGGACCAGCTCCGTGCTCTGGGTGCGGCGGGGGCCGCCCAAGAACCCGCGCGCCTGGGCAGCGTCGACGGGGGGGGCGTCGCGACGGATGCGGAGAACGGCATGCATATCAAGCTCGACCACAGCGCCAAGCAGGAAATGACGAAGCTTATGGGCGCCTTTTCCAAGAATGCGCAGGCGCTCCTCAAGGCAAAGGACCGAGGGGAGCGACTCCAACAGCAGGCAAACCAGCTCAACAATTACACCATGCCCTCAGGGATGCCACGTTTCAAATTCAATTGGAACAACGCCGAAGATGACGAGGTTATGCGCAACGAAGCCAAGTCCTTGAACGTTACAATCAAAGCGCGAACGACTTGGAGGTCGGCGAAAGAGCAGCTAGATATGGGATATTGGGGGCGCATGCGCACATTGGATCTGGATTTCAACAGCGAGATCCAGGTGCGACGCGCTTGTCCAGCAGCGCAAGGGGCCTTTATCGAACATAAGGGGTGGCATCTTCCAGCTGGGTCTGGACGTCCTTCCTGGCATGTTCCCGGAGACTGCGCGTGAGAAGTTGGCGGGAACCATGCACCGCGAGTTGCGGGCGAAAATCTACAACCAGAAGCAGAAAGAAGATGCCGAAACAAAAATGCAATCGAAAAAGAAGGACGCACTGGCAGAGGCAGCGGCGAAGCTCAGTCCCCAGGATCTGTTCGGGCACGCAGTGGCTCAGACGATGATCAGCATCAATAAGGGAAAGAAGGGCAAAGAGAAAGGCGTTGGGAAAGGATTCTAGTCAGTAAAGTTTCACATTGCACGCGATCCAGGGATTAGCCATGAGGGGGCGAAGACGCTGGCGAGCACGCGCATTTCCCACGCGGCGACGACTACTCCGAACATCAAGGCGCGACGATAGACTAAAAGACAGCTGGCTGAACGGAAAAATTGAACTTCAAAAAACAACGCATCCCCTGCCGCTGCCCCGACGACGCCCTGGCATAATGGGGGCGGCGGCAGGGGAATGGGGGGCCGAGGCTAAGGGGAAGGCCAGCTGGGCGCGTCGAAAGGCAAGGGCAAAGGCAAAGGCAAAGGAAAACACAAGAACGGCAAGCACGCGGCGAAGTGGCAGACAGCCCCCAAAGGCAAAGGACAAAAACAAGAAAGGTTCAGGTGCAGGCGGCGAAGGTTGAAAGATCGGCAAAGGGAAAAGTAGAAGCAACCCCTACGGCTGTAAGTCGTTGTTGTTGGGGGATGTTGGATGGTGCAGAGCCGTGGATGTTGACAAAAAAGCTCGACTACGACTCTCTGCTTACTCGCGTCTATATTCTTGACGTTTGCGCGCGCTCTGTCAGACAACGGCTCCCAGCCAGGAAGTGCCATGGCCAGCGGTGTTTCCTCTTACTTGCTATTAACGGAATCACATATGCGTGGGAAGTGGTATTCCAGACCATTCTGGTATTGCAGGTGCCCTCATGGATTTTTGCAACAAAGTCAAAGGAGATGGAGATTCCAGGCAGATGCCTCAGGGCAGGCATGGTGGCATAAGCATTTGGGCAAATACCGGGTTTCCGAGTATTTCGAAGCTAATCCATCGGGGTCGGTTGGACCCACCGTGCTGCCCTTTGAGGCGAAGTCGTGTTTAGCGGCTGTCAAATACCAGCTCTACGAGCGTTTCAAGATCCATGCCGCGAGCGGGCGTGGAAGGCGCCGCATTTCGAATTTTGACCCTTGGCTGTTCTACGCGATCAAGTGGATCAAGACCAGCTCTTTCGACATTGTCCCCGCGGGCAAGCGCGGCGGTCATTGTCTTATCCAGGACAGTGACCTCAGGACTTTTGTTGACGAGGACATGTCCAAGCAGTGCTACGAGGAGATAGGGTATGTGAACAAGCCGTTGGTTCTTCAGGCGCACGAGTCCATCACAAAACACGTCGGAGGAGCTTTCGGCGACAACCGCCTCACTTACGAGTTCCGGAAGCGCTACAGGTCAGAGAACCCCAGCGTTGCGAAGCTCCAGTTCACGATGAGGACCCACAAGCCACCTGGAGAGGTTGGCCGTCGAATCAGACACGATTGCAATGGACATATATTCAAATATGTCAGGGGTTTGTACAGCGGCGTCTTGGGGGAGTTTGCCAAGAACACGTACGAGCACATCTTCTGCAGCACAGATGCGTTATTGGCAGCTCTGGCAACTGTGCGAACGAATGGGTCGGCAATTCTCGCAGCGATGGACATCGAAGAATTTTATGCGCAAGGGGGCCATGGGACCATGGCCAACAGAGTTGCAACGAGGGTGTGGGGACCAGCTTCCCTCCACGAAGCCATCCTGTTCGGCCTCCTCGACAACCAGTTCGTGACGACTACGCTATGGGAACAGAGGGCGTGGCATGTCGAAACAGGTTCGGGGATGGGATTCCCCTGCGCCGGGGAGCTGGCCGACATTTTCTTCGCGGAATTGCCAGATATTGATGTTTGAAGACGTCGGGAAGAGCTTGGTATATTTTTATCTGAGGTTCCGATACGAAATCATTTTCATATGTAGTGATCGATATAAATGAGTATTGATAGTGGCTGCGTTGAGGAGGACATGCGCCTCTTCCTACATGCTTGAAATGGCAGACATGTCGTGCCACGCGATGGATTTCCTGGACGTCACCATCATCCAGAAATCGAGCGGCGCATTGGCATGGAAACTTAAGTTTTCACGTGAAGTCGATGCACGCCGTTTGGCCGAGAGCGGAGGTGGAACGGTTAAAGCGCCACTCAGCAGTCGCGAGCTTTTTCCAGCATGCCATGTCGGATCTGAAAAAGTGTTTCAGAGATCATGGCCTCAGTTGTAGTCTCCTTGTTCCTCCTTTCTCTGCTCTCCACCCCGCGAGGCATGCAGAGCCCAGGAAACGTGATGATGTTTGGCTAGTGCTACCGCACCATCCCTTGCGCGAGAAAGCCAACGCTTGCCAGCTTCTCAACGAGCTCTGGACGAGGTGGGGTGCGGACAGGTTTTTTCGGTGCCCGCTCAAGTTCAGAGTCGCTTGGAAGGTAGATCGGCCGAGTCAGTTTGCCCTGCTCCGAAAATGGCAGCAGCGTTTCTAGGTAGGTGAATGGGGTAGGACGATGGGAATAAGAAATGTCACGAGAATGTTCTGTCTTGGACCCGTTGTGCGTGATACGAATTTGTCGACTTGCTGTATCATCGGGTCTGCTGCCATTTCAGGCTCCGCCGTGACAAGCACGGCTGCAGGGCGCTCACAGGCCCCCAGGCCCACTTCACCACAAGAAGGCGCACGATTTGTTAACACCATTTCTGTTCATCAGGTGGCAGAGCATATCAATTTGTGGTGAGGTGCGCCAAGTAGTTTTTGGCGCTGCAATTTCAGTGTTTGTGGCCGCACACGCCTGCCAGGAAAAGGATACCAGGAAGGTTAGGGGTTCATCCCTGCCTTGCGCCCTCGCCTGGCCCGGCTGGGCTTGCAGAGCAGGACCTGGTCGAAGGAAGGCGAAGAGCTTCTCTGCGCATTTTTTGTTTGAAAGGTCGCGCCGCCGCTGCCGATGGCCTGGAGGAGGCGCTCCGCCACTTCACCTCGAAGCTGCGCGTGGGCGGCCCCCACCGCGTCATGGACGTGAATCTCAGTCGCCACATGGTGTCAGAGGTCGTCGTACAGTCGGTGCGCTGAAGAAGGAACCCTGCTCGTTGGGGAGGGGCTCCGCGTTCCTTAAGTGATTCACAGCTTGCCTCAGGTTTTCCTTATGTCTTCGATCGGAAATCGAAGTTTAACTTATGGAAAAAGGGGCCTCGTCAACGCCCCGACTGTAGTCCACGCATCAGCCCCGCGATTCATGCCTGAACCTCCCCACCCCCCTGGCCGGATCTCTTCTCTTCTTTGCGCGGGGGGGTAACCTTCGCGGCGACCCGTTAAACCCGGGACCCCCAGCGGCGCATGGAGTTCTTTCCTTCCGCGGGCGAGCTGCCATTGGCCATTGGAACCCCTGAGCCCCTCCGACCACCGCACAACTAGTACTTGAGTACTACCGGTACTGTCATGTACTAGTGCGCAGTTGCTCCCAGCACATTGTCCTGCCGTGCAAGTATTACAGTGCAACTGGTATCATATCCGTAAGGGCTTCGCCCCATGCCGCCCGCCCCCTGTCTCGGATAATGGGAGATGCAAAAGCTAAATCATAAGGTCTGGGCGCCGCCGTGAAGCAGTGTCGGGACCTGTTTGTTTTTCGATTCTGACCCTACGGATCTGCGTCACGTGTGCCACCGAATTTCAGAAATGTGGCAAATCCCTTGTGCTTTTGGACCCTGACCCTACGGATCTGCGTGAGGGGTGCCGCCGAATTTCAGAAATGTAGCAAATCCCCTGTGTTCTTGGACCCTGACCCTGCCGATCTGCGTGAGGGGTGCCGCCGAATTTTCCAGGAAAGGGCGTGGGCCCAGGGTTCTCTTTTAGTTGGTTAACCCCCCGGCCCCCCTGCGACTTGGGCCGGCGAAATTATTTTGCGTGCGGGCACGCACGGAGTAGGGCCGGCGAAATTATGTTTGAGGATATCTCGAGCGAAACGCTTGTTTTTCAGAATTTGTTGAGGATGTCTGGAGCGAGACGCTGGTTTTGCAGAGTTGGGGATGTCTCGAGCGAAACGCTTGGTTTCAGAATTTGTTGAGGATGTCTCGAGCGACACGCTGGTTTTGCAGAGCCGACCGCGACACGGAAAAGCGCCCCTCGCGCAGGAATTCCAAGGATGTCTCGCGCGTGCCGCGTCCCGCGCGCGGGTATTTGGATTTCTTTGGATTTTGACAGGATGTCTCGAGCGAAACGCTTGTTTTTCATAATTTGTTGAGGATGTCTCGAGCGAAACGCTGGTTTTGCAAAATTGGAGGATGTCTCGAGCGGTGGCCTCGTGGGGGGCCAGAATTCAAAGGATGTCTCAGGCGAAATGCTTGTTTTCACGTCCCGCTCGCAGGAATTCCGAGGATGTCTCGCGCGTGCAGCGTCCCGCGCGTAGGAATTCAAATGATTTTGACAGGATGTCTCGAGCGAAACGCTTGTCCCCAGCACGTTCCGTAGCGCGTCCCCTTGGCAGGTCCCGCGGTGCGTCCCCATGGCACGTCCCTTGGCACGTCGCTTGGCGCGTCCCTTGAGACGTTCTGCGTCGCGTCCTCCTGGCATGTTCCCCTGTCCATTAGCTCTGGGGCAGCTACTATGTGTTCAGGCAGCTCGAGCTTAAGATCCAGATCAGTTCGGTCAGGACTCGGATGCAAAGGAGGACTCGATCCACGAGGCTATAGAGCACAATCGCGCCATGGCACATCGCAATTCAGCACGGCGCAGCACAGCACTGATTTCGGCACGGTACATCAAGGTCGATGCACTCAGCATTGCAACTTGGCACGTTCCTTGGCACGTTCCGTGGGGCGTCCTTTGGCGAGTCCCCCTGGCACGTCGCGTCGCGCGTCCCCTGGCACATCCCGTGGCACATCCATTGGCACGTTCCGTAGCGCGTCCCCTTGGCACGTCCCGCGGTGCGACCCCATGGCACGTCCCCTGGCACGTCGCCTGGCGCATCCCTTGGGACGTTTCGCGGCGCGTCCTCCTGGCATGTTCCCCTGTCCATTAGCTCTGGGGCAGCTACTATGTGTTCAGGCAGCTCGAGCTTAAGATCCAGATCAGTTCGGTCAGGACTCGGATGCAAAGGAGGACTCGATCCACGAGGCTATAGAGCACAGTCGCGCCATGGCACATCGCAATTCAGCACGGCGCAGCACAGCACAGCCCTCGGCAGGGTACATCAAGATCGATACCTTCAGTATTGCATTTGCCCGTCACCCAATCAGGTGTCTTTGAAAACGCTGCCATGTGTTACAGTTCTACATTCCTTTCCGGGTTCGTGGGTCGATCATGTTGGAAATGTGGCAAATCCAATTTGTTTTTGGACCCTGACCCTGCCGATCTGCGTGAGGGGTGCCACCGAATTTCAGAAATGTGGCAAATCCGTTGTGTTTTTGGACCCTGACCCCGCCGAATTGTTTGAGGGGCGCAACGGATTTCAGACATGTGGCAAATCCCATGTGTTTTTGGACCCTGACCCCGCCGAATTGCATGAGGGGTGCCAGCGAATTTCAGAAATGTTGCAAATCCCTTGTGTTTTTGGACCCTGACCCGCCGATCTGCGTGAGGGGTGCCACCGAATGGATATGTGGCAAATCCCATGTGTTTTTGAACCCTGACCCCGCCGATCTGCGTGAGGGGGTTTACCCACCCCAGCAATTCAGAGCAGACGCTCAGGGCGTGGTAGAAATGCTCGTTTTGGGCCTCCCCCCCTCGCGCGGTCCAAGCAACAAGGAACAGTAAGCAGCAAGAAGCAGAATTGTAACAGTGGAAACTGGAAGCTGCAACTGGCACAGGAAACTGCGAACCTTCGCCCTACAGCCTGGTGGCCCCACAAGGGGGCAGGCGGATTACAATTGATGGAATTGAGAGAACTGTGCGCCCTTGTTCAACTCCCTAGTACAAATCCTTAGTATTAGTATAACTCTCTGGTACAACTCCCCAGTACAACTCCCTGGTATAATTCTCTAGCACAAATAGTATGATTCCGGAGAAAAGCCCCAATCAGATTTTTGTTGGGGCAATGGGGCTATATGGGCTATATGGCTATAGGGGTATAGTGGTATAGGGCTATTGGGCTATAGGGGCTATAGGACCTTAGGACTAGGGCTATATGGCTATAGAGCTATAGGGCTATAGAGCTATAGGGCTCTAGGGCTCTAGGGCTCTAGGGCCATAGGGCTATAGGGCCGTAGGGCTATAGGGCTATAGGGCCACTGGGCTATTGGGCTATATATATGGGCTATATGGGCTATTGGGCTATAGGGCTATAGAGCTATAAGGCTATAGGGCTATATGGCTGTAGGGTACCAGGGAGCCCCCGGGCACCTCCAGGCACCCCCGAGCACCCGGGCACCCGGGCACCCACGGGCACCCGGGCACCCGGGCACCCAGCCACCGGCCACCGAAACCCTGGGGCACCGGGCACCTACGGGCACCCGGGCACCCAGGCACCCGGCCGCCGGCCACCAAACCGCGGCGCCGCACCTCACCTAACCATATGAATCCGCTAGGACCCCTACAGAGGCAAGCTCTGATTGGGGAACCAGTACAACTCTTTGATGCAATTCCCGAGTGCTAGTGCAATTCGCTAGTACAAGCAAGCCCCTAGTAAAACTTCCTAGTTTCAGCCCCCAGCACAACTTTCCACTGCAATCCCCAGTACAACTCCCTGTTACGACGAGTACACTCCTGAGTGCAACTCCTCAGTGCAACTGCCTAGTACAGATCCCTAGTACAGCTACCTAATACTACTGCAAATCCCTAGTGCAATTCCCAAGTACAACTAGTGCAACTTCCCAGTGCTAGTAGAACTCCCCAGCGCAACCCCCTAGTGCAAGGACAACTCCCCAGTGCAATTCCACTGTGCCAGTACAACTCCCTGGCGCAACTCCGTAGTACAATTCCCTAGTACAATGCCCTAGTACAACTCCCTGGAACAAGTTGTACTAGTACAACTCCCTAGTGCAACTCCCTAGTTCAACCCCCTAGTATTAGTACAACTCCCTAGTGCATCTCACTAGTACAACTCCCCAGTGCAACTCCCTAGTGCAATTCCAGTAGTGCGACTCCCTGTGCAACTCCCTAGTGCTAGTCCAACTCCCTAGTACAACTCCCAGTAGGACTCCCGAGTAAAACTTCCTATTACTAGCACAGCTCCCTAGTGCAACCACTATTGGAGTGTTGCTGCATTGCACTTGCAATCTGGGCTCTCACGCTTTTCCTCCTCTGGTTGCGCCGGGGGGGGTGGGAACCCTCGCGCGAGCACCCCCGCGGCTGAGAATTCACTCCTCTTCCGGAATTTGAGGCGAGGGTAACCCCCGTGATCGAACCCCTCGCCAGGGTTTTTCCCGGAAAGGGCTCGAGCCCAGGGTTCTCTTTTTGATGGTCTTCCCCCCGGTTTTTACTTGAAGAGGGCCGGCGGAATTCTTGTGCGATAAATTACAAGGTCGAAGGGGGCCGGCGGATTTCAATTGTGAGGACGAAGGCCATTTTTCGCCACCCCTCACGCAGATCGTGCTCTTGGAATTTTACTGCCTTTAAGGCAACCTCGATATTTTACAGGTGAAGTCCACTTTTTTCCTACATCGACTTTAAACTATAAAAAAACGAGGTAAACGCGTTCGCTCGATAAATAACGAGGTACCGCGGCCTCCGGAACGGCGCTGGGAACGGAGTTTTGGATTCTTGAAGTTGCATAAGTTCGGAAATCGCAGAAATCCCTTGTGTTTTTTTCCCTGACCCCGCCGATCTGCGTGAGGTGTGGCACGGAATACCAGAAATGTGTCAAATCCCATGAGTTTTTGGACCCTGACCCCGCCGATCTGCGTGAGGGGTGGCGCGGAATTCCAGAAATGTGGCAAATCCCCTGTGTTTTTGGACCCTGACCCCGCCGATTTGCATGAGGGGTGGCACGGAATTCCAGAAATGTGGCAAGTCCCCTGTGTTTTCGGATCCTGACCCCGCCGACCTGCGTGAGGGGTGGCACCGAATTTCACAAATGTAGCAAGTCCCATGTGTTTTCGGACCTTGACTTCGCCCAGGAGGGCCCAGGAGGCTCCAGGAGAGCCCAGGAGAGCCCAGGAGGGCCCAGGAGAGCCCAGGAGGGCCCAGGAGGACCCAGGAGGCTCCAAGAGGCACCAGGGGGCCCAAGGAGGGCCCAGGAGAAGCTCCAGGAGGCTCCAGGAGAGCCCAGGAGGGCCCAAGAGGTCCAAGGAAGACCCAGGAGGGCCCAGGAGCCCTTACGAGGGATCGTGGCCCTGGGAGCGCTGACGTAGCGTAATTTACGAGGGATCGTGGCCCTGGGAGCGCGGGTGTAGTGTAATTTTGAAAAAGTGCGTTTCGTGCGTGCCCGCTCGAGGAGGTCCGCAGACCCCCGTTTTCCTTTGTAAAAAAGAAGGTGCGGAGCGTTTTTCGCAGAACCCTCGACAAATAACGGGGTCTGGAGCCTCGACCGCGACGCGGAAAAGCGCCCCGCGCGCAGGAATTCCGAGGATGTCTCGCGCGTGTCGCGTCCCGCGCGCAGGAATTTTGAGGATGTCTCTACTAATTCGTGCGTTTTGCCATGATTGTTTTGGATTTTGACGGGATGTCTCGCGCGAAACGCTTGTTTTTGTCATAATTTGTTGAGGATGTGTCGAGCGAAACGCTGGCTTTGCAAAATTGGAGGATGTCTCGAGCGGGGGCTTCGTGGGGGGCCAGAAGTCAGAGGATGTCTCAGGCGAAATGCTTGTTTTCACGTCCCGCTCGCAGGAATTCCAAGGATGTCTCGCGCGTGCCGCGTCCTGCGCGCAGGAATTTTGAGGATGTCTCGACTAATTCGTTTGTTTAGCGAGGATTTCTTAGAATTTTGGCAGGATGACTCCAGCGAAACGCTTGTTTTTCATGCTTTGTTGAAGATGTGTCGAGCGAAACGCTGGCTTTGCAAAATTTGAGGATGTCTCGAGCGGGGGCCTCGTGGGTGGCCAGAATTCATAGGATGTCTCAGGCGAAATGCTTGTTTTCACGTCCCGCTCGCAGGAATTCCGAGGATGTCTCGCGCGTGTTGCGTCCCGCGCGTAGGAAGTTTGAGGATGTCTCGACTAATTCGCTTGTTTTGCTTGGGTTTCCTTGGATTTTGACAGGCTGTCTCGAACGAACGCTTGTTTTTTATTATTTGTTTAGGATGTCTCGAGCGAAACGCTGGTTTTGCAAACTTGGGGGATGTCTCGAGCGGGGGCCTCGTGGGGGGCCAGAATTCAGAGGATGTCTCAGGCGAAATGCTTGTTTTCACGTCCCGCTCGCAGGGATTCCGAGGATGTCTCGCGCGTGCCGCGTCCCGCGCGTAGGAATTCTGATGATTTTGAAAGGATGTCTCGAGCGAAGCGCTTGTCCCCAGCACGTTCCGTAGCGCGTCCCCTTGGCACGTCCCGCGGTGCGTTACCATGGCACGTCCCTTGGCACGTCGCTTGGCGCGTCCCTTGAGACGTTCCGCGTCGCGTCCTCCTGGCATGTCCTGTTGTCCATAAGCTCTGGGGCAGCTACTATGTGTTCAGGCAGCTCGAGCTTAAGATCCAGATCAGTTCGGACAGGACTCGGATGCAAAGGAGGACTCGATCCACGAGGCTATAGAGCACAATCGCTGCATGGCACATCGCAATTCAGCACGGTGCAGCACAGCACAGATTTCGGCACGGTACATCAAGATCGATACACTCAGCATTGCAACTTGGCACGTTCCTTGGCACGTTCCGTGGGGCGTCCCTTGGCGAGTCCCCCTGGCACGTCGCGTGGCGCGTCCCCTGGCACATCCCGTGGCACATCCATTGGCACGTTCCGTAGCGCGTCCCCTTGGCACGTCCCGCGGTGCGACCCCATGGCACGTCCCCTGGCACGTCGCCTGGCGCATCCCTTGGGACGTTTCGCGGCGCGTCCTCCTGGCATGTTCCCCTGTCCATTAGCTCTGGGGCAGCTACTATGTGTTCAGGCAGCTCGAGCTTAAGATCCAGATCAGTTCGGTCAGGACTCGGATGCAAAGGAGGACTCGATCCACGAGGCTATAGAGCACAGTCGCGCCATGGCACATCGCAATTCAGCACGGCGCAGCACAGCACAGCCCTCGGCAGGGTACATCAAGATCGATACCTTCAGCATTGCATTTGCCCGTCACCCAATCAGGTGTCTTTGAAAACGCTGACATGTGTTACAGTTCTATATTCCTTTCCGGGTTCGTGGGTCGATCATGTTACATAGTTTGTTGAGGATGTGTCGAGCGAAACGCTGGTTTTGCAAAATTTTGGGATGTCTCGAGCGGGGGCTTCGCGGGGGGCCGGAATTCAGAGGATGTCTCAGGCGAAATGCTTGTTTTCACGTCCCGCTCGCAGGAATTCCGGGGATGTCTCGCGCGTGCCACGTCCCGCGCGCAGGAATTTTGAGGATGTGCCGTAGCGCGTCCCCTTGGCACGTCCTACGGTGCGACCCCATGGCACGTCCCTTGGCACGTCGCCTGGCGCGTCCCTTGGGACGTTTCGCGGCGCGTCCTCCTGGCATGTCCCCCTGTCAATTAGCTCTGGGGCAGCTATTATGTGTTCAGGCAGCTCGAGCTTCAGATCCAGATCAGTTCGGTGAGGACTCGGATGCAAAGGAGGACTCGATCCACGACGCTATAGAGCACAACCGCGGCATGGCACATCGCAATTCATCACGGTGCAGCATAGCACAGCCCTCGGCACGGTACATCAAGATCGATACAATCAGCATTGCACTTGCCCGTCACCCAATCAGGTGTCTTTGAAAACGTTGCCATGCCTTACATTTCTATATTCCTTTCCGGGTTCGTGGGTCGATCATGTTTCCCGGAAAGGGCTTCAGCCCAGGGTTCTCTTTTAGTTTGTTTGCCCTCGGGTTTAACTTGAGGTGGGCCGGCGAATTCCTTTTGCGATAAATACCGAGGTCGAGGTAGGCCGGCGACTTAAATTTTGCGGATGCCTCCAGCGAAACGCTTGTTTTTCAGAATGTGTTGAGGATGTCTCGAGCGAAACGCTTGTTTTGTGTTATAGGTTGTCCTCTCCTGGGGACCAGAATTCAGAGGATCTCTGAGGTGAAATGCTTGTTTTCACGTACTCAGGTCTTGAGGATGTCTCGAGCGAGACGCTTGGTTTCACGCCTCCAGGTTGCCCAGGCAGAGGTCTAGCGCCAGGATTTGTTGAGGATGTCTCGAGCGAGACGCTTGGTTTCACGCGTCCTCGTCGTCCAGGCGGATGTCTAGCATGAGGATGTGTTGACGAAGTCTCGATCGAGATGCTTGTTTGCACGTGTCCAGGTTGCCCAGGCGGATGCCTAGCATGAGGATGTGTTGATAATGTCTTGAGAGATACGCTTGTTTTTACGTGTCCATGTCGCCCAGGCGGATGTCTAACATGAAGATGTGTTGAGGATGTCTCGAGCGAGACTTTTGCTTTCGCGTGTACAGGTCGCCCAGGCGGATGTCTAGAATGAGGAGGTGTTGAATACTCCTCGAGCGCAACGCTTGTTTTCACGTGCCCAGGTCACCCAGGCGGACGTCTCACATGAGGATGTGTTGAGGATGTCTCGAGCGAACCACTTGTTTTCACGTGTCCAGTTCGCCCAGGTGGATCTCCAGCATGAGAATGTGTTGAGGATGTGTTTTGCGAATCGCTTGTTTTCACGTGTCCAGGTCGCTCAGGCGGATGTGTAGCATGAGGATTTTTACAGGATGTCTCGAGCGAAAGGCTTGTCCCCAGCACGTTCCGTAGCGCGTCCTCTTGGCACGTCCCGCGGTGCGTCCCCATGGCACGTCCCCTGGAAGTGGCTTGGCGCGTCCCTTGAGACGTTCCGCTGCGCGTCCTCCTGGCATGTCCCCCTGTCAATTAGCTCTGGGGCAGCTACCATGTGTTCAGGCAGCTCTAGCTTAAGATCTAGATCAGTTCGGTCAGGACTCGGATGCAAAGGAGGACTCGACCCACAACGCTATAGAGCACAATCGCTGCATGGCACATCGCAATTCAGCACGGCGCAGCACAGCACAGATTTCGGCACGGTACATCAAGATCGATACATTCAGCATTGCAACTTGGCACGTTCCGTGGGGCGTCCCTTGGCGAGTCCCCCTGGCACGTCGCGTGGCGCGTCCCCTGGCACATCCCGTGGCACATTCATTGGCACGTTCCGTAGCGCGTCCCCTTGGCACGTCCCGCGGTGCGACCCCGTGGCACGTCCCTTGGCACGTCGCCTGGCGCGTCCTTTGGGACATTTCGCAGTGCCTCCTCCTGGCATGTCCCGTTGTCCATTAGCTCTGGGGCAGCTACTATGTGTTCAGGCAGCTCGAGCTTAAGATCCAGATCAGTTCGGTCAGGACTCGGATGCAAAGGAGGACTCGATCCACAACGCTATAGAGCACAATCGCGGCATGGCACATCGCAATTCAGCACGGCGCAGCGCAGCACAGCCCTCGGCACGGTGCATCAAGATCGATACATTCCGCATTGCATGCCCGTCACCCAGTCAGGTGTCTTTGAAAACGTTGCCCTGCGTTACATTTCTATATTCCTTTCCGGGTTCGTGGGTCGATCGTGTCTTTTCCTCCGCGGAAGCCGGACCCCCTGGGCTCCTGGGCGCGCCCCAGAAGTTCCTCCCTCCCTCCCTTGGGGTCGCGGGGCTGATGTCCACGCTGCCCCACCACGCCATCCTCCTGGGGAGTTCCGCGTCGTCCGCGGGATCTTCTGCCAGGTCGGCAGGGCCCCCGTCGTCTGCGTCGAGCAGGGGGCCGCCGAGAGCGGCTGCCTGTCGGATCTGTTCTTCGGCGAGGACCATCGAGGAGCATCCTCGATCACTCAGCGAAAACCGCACACGAAATCGAAAAACAAAAACACAGGGACTGGACGTCCGAGCGATGGCGAGAGCTCGCCCTCGACGCAGCGCGGGTGACTGTAGAGCTTGTTCACCTGGTCGGTGCTGCACACGCGCAGCTCACCTCCCCGCAGCGTGCCGCCTGGCAGAGGCAAGCCCGTCTCGAGCGCGTCGCCTCCCGCCTCGACCTCCTCCGGACACTGTCGAAGCACAGCGTCAGGGGCAACGTTTGGGGAGTGGGGGGAGGCTCAGGGCAGGTTCGAGGCTCAAAGAGATTTTGAGGAAGAGGAGGGGGAGGAGGAGGAGGAGGAGGAGGAGGAGGAGGAGGAGGAGGAGGAGGAGGTGGAGGAGGACGGGGGTTATGCTGCTGCTGCTGCTGCCGATGGTGATGGTGATGGTGGTGATGGGGATGGCCCCCGCGCGAGGCCGACGCCCCGAACGGCGAGCCGAGCGACGCCGACCGGGCGGCCTTCGTGTCCCAGGGGGGCGTGTGCGGGCTGCGGGCGGTACCGCTGGAGGCCCGCGCCGTCGCCGCCGCCGTCGCGCGGGCGAGGGCCGAGGGGCAACCAGGAGGTCGGGGAGAAACCAGAGGAGCGAGGAGGAGGAGGAGGACAAGGAGGAGGAGGAGGAGGAGGAGCGAGGAGGAGGAGGAGGAGGAGGAGGAAGAGGACGAGGAGGACTGCGAGGAGTGAGAAGGAGGAGGCCGAGGAGTAGCAGGAGGAGGGTGAGGAGGAGGAGGAGGAGGAGGAGGAGGAGGAGGAGGGGGAGGAGGAGGAGGAGGAGGAGGAGGAGGAGGAGGAAAAGGATGAGGAGGGAGGAGGAGGAGGAGGAGGAGGAGGAGGAGGAGGAGGAGGAGGAGGAGAAAGGGCAGCGAGGACGAGGAAAGAGAAGTGGGGCAGAGAGGTCGCGGCGCGGAGTGGTGGCGGAAGGCATCCGGGAGTTTCCAGATGTTCCCCAGCAAATTATGGGTTGGTGATGCTGTTGTTGCTGCTGATGATGATGGTGATGATGCTGATGATCATGATGAGGATGCTGATGCTGATGATGCGGCTGGTGATGATGGTGACGACGATAACGATGACGATGGCGATGACGATGATGCTGGTACTGACGATGATGCTGATCCTAATGATGATGATGCTGATGATGATGATGATGATGATGGTGATGATGGTGATGATGATGATGATGATGATGACGATGACCATCATGATGGTGATACCGGTGATGGTGGTGGTGATGCTGATGCTGATGCTGATGGTGGTGGTGGTGGTGATGGTAATGGTGATGACGCTGAATCTGATGTTGCTGATGATGCATATGATGCTGATGGTGGTAATGGTGATGGTGATGGTGACGGTGATGCTGACGATGATGATGATGATGATGATGATGATGATGAAGATGATGATGATGATGATGATGATGATGATGATGATGATGATGATGATTCTAATTATGATTGTGCTGCTGATGATGGTGATGATGATGCTGATGCTGACGATGATGACGATGCTGATGATGATGATGATGACGATGGCGATGACGATGACGATGCCGATGATGGTGATGATGATGGCGATGATGGCGATGATGCTGACGATGATGATGACAATGATGATGACGATGGCGATGATGATGACGATGCTGATGACGATGTTGATGATGATGATGCTGATGATGATGCTTCTGATGCTGATGACGACGACGATGGCGATAACGATGACGATGGCGATGGTGATGGTGATGGTGGTGATGATGATGATGATGATGATGATGATGATGATGATGATGCGTACACCTGCGACAGACCAGGGTCACTGGAGTTCCCCCCCCCCCCTCCCCCCTATCCTCCCCTCCCCGATGTTGGGCCGCGAAGCGGCCCCGTCTGCCGCGTGAACCGATGCTGGGCGTGGGCTGCAGGACGAGGACGAGGAATGATGTGGAGGAGGAGGTGGATGACGAGGAAGAGGATGATGATGAGGAGGAGGAGGGGAGGATGGTATTGATGCTGATGGTGATGGTGATAATCATGATCATGATTCTGATGATGATGATGATGCTGATGATGATGATGATGCACATTATCATGATCATGATCATGATGATAATGCTGATGATGATGACGACGCTGACGATGATGCTGGCAATGGCGACGATGATGAGGATGCTTCTGCTGCTGCTGCTGCTGCTGCTGATGATGATGATGATGATGATGATGATGGCCATGATGATGATGATGTGGAGGAGGATGTCGAGGACGAGTATGATGAGGATGGTGTTGCTGTTGCTACTGATGAGGATGATGGTGGTGATGATGATCATGACTGTGGGGCCGCTGGCTATTATGGCGATGTTGCTGTTGCTGCTGATGATGCTTGGAACGGATGATGATGACGAGGATCAGGATGTTTATCAGGATGGTACTGTTTATGTTGCTGCTGCTGGTGATGTTGCCGATGGCATGACGATGACGACGATGCTGATGATGCTGATGATGATCAGGATGATCATGCTGATTATGTGCATGATAAGGATGATGGATGATGATGGTGATGTTTGTGGTGGTGGTGAATGATAATGAGGATGAGTAGGAGAAAGAGGAGGCTGATGATGATGATGAGGATAGTAATGACGATGATGACACTGGTACTGATACTAATGGTTATGGCGTTGGAGGTGAAGATGGTGATGATGATGGTGGTGATTATGGTAATGGTGATGGTGATGATGAGGATGATGATGACGATGCTGCTGCTGCTGATTATGATGATTGTGATGGTCGAAATCGTGGTCATGGTCATGATCATGATGATGAGGATGATGACGACGAGGATCTTGATGATGATGATGAGGAGGAGGAGGACGATTATCATACTGGCACTGAAGCTGTCACTGATGATTACGATGCAGCGGAAAATGGCGATGATTATGGTGATGATGGTGGCGATGGTTATGATGGTGATGGTGATGGCGATGATGAGGATGCTTATGACGATGTTGATGATGCTGCTGCTGATGATGGTCATGGTCATGGTCATGATGACGGTGACGTTGATTCTTATGATGGTGATGACAGTGATTGTGAAAATGATGCTGATGATGCTGATGATGATTGAGATGCTGACGATTATGCTGTGTTGATATGCATGTTCATGGTGATAATGAGGACGATTGTGGTGATGATGATGATGATGATGATGATGATGATGATGATGATGATGATGATGATGATGATGGTTGAAACGAACGATGATGTTGATGCTGATGCTGATGCCGATGTTGGTGTTGATGTTGCTGCTGATGATGAGGAGGAGGGGGAGCAGGAGGAGGTGGAGGATGAGGATGATAACTAGAAGGACGAGGAGAACGAGGAGGAGCAGGAGCAGGAGCAGGAGCAGGAGCAGGAGGAGGAAGCCGAGGAGTTAGGTGCTTCGCCACCAGCCGCCGAGGCCTCCGACTCCGCCGGCTCGGGACGCAGGCTGCTGGCGGTGGCGTTCCTAGGAGCCCGCCTGGGGAGGGGGGGCGGATGATGCCCAGAGGGGAAGGGGGAGGGTGAGGGAAGGATGGAGGGCGGAAGGGAGGGAGGGGGAGGGAGGGAGGCAGTGGCGGCAGGCCCTGCTGCAACTCCGCCCGCGGCGCTACGGTGCCTTACAGGGCCTCGGCGCACGACGCGTTCGCTGAGCACGCCGGCGAGTGCCCCGTGGGATCTCTGCTGTCCTTTTCAAAGTCTTCAGGATCAGGAGTGGCGGGGGCGTCTCAGGCGAAGCCCCTTTCCCGCCCTACCGACACGCATGGGGGTGCGACACGGGGGATCTTTTCAACACGGAACAGAGAAGGATGTTGGTGATGACGAGGATGAGGACGAGGATGGTGATGATGATGATGATGATGATGATGATGATGATGATGATGATGATGATGATGATGATGAGGATGAGGATGAGGATGAGGATGATGATGATGATGATGATGATGATGATGATGATGATGATGATGATGATGATGATGATGATGATGGGATAATAATCGTAGAGCATGAGTGTTGATGTGCACCGACAGTTTGGGGTGGGATCGTGGAATTTTCCTTGGAGCCTCGGAGCCCGCAGGGGCGTGCCAGCTTGTGGGGGGGCCTTTTCGCCGGTGGGCCACGTTCCCGGCCTGGCTCCCCTCGGCCCTCCAAAACGGGTGGGCTCGGTAGGTTTGGTTTTGGTTGCCCGTGAAGGCCCCCTGCCCTCGCGTGTGCTGCACGGCCTGCTCCGCAACCGTTTCATGTGGCTCCAATCTGGTACAGATTATCGCGAGGACTGGGCGCCCAGCCCACCTCGCAGCAGGGCGCGGCATGGCGCCCTGACGGGAGCAGCGGACTCCACCCGTGGAATCATAGATTGTGCGAGGCCGTGGCGCGCTGCCCAGGAGCAGCAGGCCGCGGCGAGCTGGTGTGCTGGACGCCGAGCGCCGCAGGCGCGACGACGCCAGGCAGGCAGGATGGCAGTGTCGGCAGGAGCCAAGAAGGCGGGGACCGACGCGCTGCGGGCCGCTGGTGCTGACGTTACGGACGACGACGTCGCGAGCCTCGTCCTGAAGGTGAGGGCGACGCTGAACGCGGGGCGGGCCCCCCGTTCGAAGCTGGACGAGGCGAGACGACTGGAGGCAGCGCTGGACCCGGTGGCCATCCGCCTGGCGCTGGGGAACCCGGAGGTCCCGGGCTCTGAGATGGCCGAGGCCCTCTGGGGGTTCACTGAGGCCGCCACGTACGCCACGCAGGCGGAGAGCCGGATCAGGAGAGTGGCGGCCGATACCGATGGCTGGGAGAGGATCGCGGATTGGATCTGGGCCCGTGCAGTCGGCGACGACGGCGGCACGCTGCCCACCGACTGGCTGCTGCACCTGGGCATAGGGCTCCTCCTGTCCAGCCTGGTGGTGGTGCTTGGGGCCGACTCCGGGCGGCACCGCCTGGCAGGCGCCGCTGTGGGGCTGTGCGGCACCGTCCTGCTAGTACGGCGCGTGCCCGAGCGTGTGGTTGCCTGGTGGGCACGCTGGAGGCGGCGCTCGGCCTTCGCCGCGGCGCTGAGGAGCGGCGGGGACGGCCTGGACCTGACCGCCGCCGAGGACGACTGCGCGGCCTGGGACGCGAAGGGGGCCCCGACGACCAAGGGGGGTGGCGCGGGGGCCACGGAGGTTCCTACTGGCCCGCTGCACCCCCCGGGGCTGGCAGCGCTGCCGCCGTCGCCGTGGGCCCCACCTGCCGAAGGCGTGGGCGGGGGCGCCCCGCCAGCAAAGCCCGGCGCGCAGGACCTGGCGGCGCTGCGGGCGTTCGGCCAGGGGTCCGAGGTGCCAGGCCCCTTCAGCCAGACGGCGGCCCTGCAGCAGCAGCAGCAGCAGCAGCCACAGCCGAGCCCAGAGGTAGGCGTGCCAACGTCGGGGCTCAGCTTCCACGCGCCCTATGCTCCTGCAGACGCGGTGAAGCTAGGGCGCGAGGTCCAGATGGTGGGCGCCACGCTGCGCGAGTTCCAGGCGCAGGCGGCCACGAACGTGTACTGGGCCTGGCACTTCTGGGAGAGAATCGCGGCGGTGGATGGCTCCATGGGGCTGCATCCTGACCTCCGTCGCGTGCTGCAGACCCACGGCTACGTGGGCGCAGGAACGAAGTCCCCGCCAGGTGGTTCGCTGCAGCAGGAGCTGGACGCGTTGCTCTCCTCCGCCACAGCGCCGCACGGCGGGGGCATGCACGCCTCCCCTGGGTGGGCCGTGGCCCCGGTGACCCAGCAGCAGCAGGAGGACAGCCGATGGAACCTCAGCCTCCCGCCGGACCTGCGGCGCGCGGCGCCGGAGATCTACCGCACCATGCGGGGCGCTGGGGCGGCTAGCGCTCGCGACTGGCTGTCGCAGGAAGTGACGGGCCAGCGACACACGGCAGTCTGGACCGACCTGTGGACTGCCGCCACCAACGTGGACTGACTACTTGCTGGGCGGGTGCAGGACCCGGTCCGAGCTGCTCACCCGCCTGGCGTCCGACGATGCGCTGGAGCTGCACCTGAGGCGGTTGGCGAGCTACGTCTACGAGATGCGGACGAAGGACAAGGTGGGTGCGGCGGCCATGCTGGCCGTGCGCCCGCCCGGGTCGGCCGCCGACTTGGCTCCCACATGGCTGGTGACCGAGGCCACGACCCACAGCAAGGCTGAGCACCAGCGTGACGAAAGGGTCCACGCCGCCAGCAAGCACGACAACCGAGGCGGCGGCCGTGGCGGTGGTCACGGAGGTGGAGCTGGCGGCGGCGCCGAAGCGGCGGGCGGCGGCAGAGGCAGAGGTGGCGATGGCGGGGGGCGCGGCCGCGGCCGAGGGGGTAAGCCCTCGGGCCGGGGCAAACCTCAGGCTTGACAGCCACTGGCGGACCGAGGGGCTTGCGACCCCCCCTCGGTCCGAGAAGGTGCCCCGCGGCCGCGGGTGCAGCCTAGAATGCCAGTGACGGGTTTGCCTGGCTCGCTGACGCGGGCCCTGCAGTGGAAGGAGGCCGAGGCCAGGTCTTTCTTTCCAGTACCTCTACCTCATCGGCCACAGCAAGGAGCTTCCTCTTCCGGCAGGTTGAGGACGCGCTGGGCTCGGCGCATGCGTGTGTGGCGTCGGGCCTGTGGGCTCATCGAGCTCATGAACGGGATGGACCGCGGATCCCTGGAGGCGAGACCAGCGGGCCAGCGTGAGCCGAGCACGACGACATGATGCTGGCCTGGCAGCTCGTGCAGCAGTATGCGTTACAGGACGCAGCGCGGTACGAGCGCGACTGCCGGGGGCTTGCCCCGACAGGCGGTCAAGGGACGGATCTTGCCTGCGACCGAGGACCGCAGGATGCCTACACAGGAGAGCGCAAGGGTGTGAGCAGGCATGTGATGATGTGCGCCGCGGCAGTTGCAGAACCCCCCGACGACATGGTCGTGGACCTGCTGGAGGCGCTGCCTGACGGCGAGCGCCAGTACTACTCGGACGAGCTGAACGTTCTGGACTACAGCGGCAAGTCGGGGGTCCTCTTCGAGGAGCTGGAGGAGCGTTTCGCCTTCGTGGGGGGCTCGACGTCCGAGTACGCCCGCTACATGATGCGGGCCGATTTGCCGAAGGACATGTGGACGTTCGAGGACCCCAACGACGTCCAGGCCTACTGCGGGTTCAGCTGTGTGCCCAAGAAGGACCCCACCAAGCAGCGGAAGGTCCTGATGATGTGTGCCAGCAACTACGTGTGGGCCGACCCCCACCAGCGCGGAGACCACGGGATGCACGGCGGAGCGGCCATCGCCTCCATGTGCGTCCCGACGGACGAGTGGGGCGTAGCAGCGTTCGACGAGGACAACGCCTTCACCCGCCTCCGCGTCCCCGCTTGGATGGCCAAGTGGCAGGCTTGCCCGCCGATCCGCGCCTGCTGGGTGTGGGGGAAACTCAGCCAGCGCTTGCGCGACTTGGTGGGGCCGACGGGCTGGATAGCCCCCTGCTACCACCGCCTGGCCATGGGCGGCTCGCACTCCGTGCGCCTGCTCATGACGGTCAACATGGCGATCATCGGCAGGGCGCTGCTGGGCGTGGGCGCTCGCTTGGGGGCGCACGCGGGCGCCGCGGAGCCCGCCGAGGGCGGGGCCAGCGGGGCGCCGCGCGCCTCGCCGCCCGAGGGCGGGGGGCTGGAGGCGGACGACCTGGGGGATGCCGGACCTGAGGACGCTCAGCAGCATCGCTACGACGACGACTGGCTCGGGCAGCAGTCCAGCTGCCGTGCCGCGCCGCCTAGCCCGTCGGGCTACAGCGTGGCGGAGTGGCTAGAGGCGGTGAGGCGGGCGAAGCGGGACGACGAGCGTGTGATGGTGGTGATGCATCTCTTTGCTGGCCGTCGGCGGCGTGGCGACGTTCAGGAGGTGGTAGAGAGGCTGGCGATGGAGCGGAGCCTGAGGGTGCTCTTTCTTTCTGCCGATCTCCTTGACGACCCGCGGTGGGACCTGGCCAGCCCTCCCACCTTCTCCGCTTTGATGGAGCTGTGCGAAGGCGGCTGGGTGGACGTCGTGCTGGGAGGCCCGCCCTGTTCGACCTGGTCGCGGGCTCGCTACAATCGTCGCCGACCAGGGCCGCCGCCAGTGCGCTCGCGGCGGTGCCCCTGGGGGCTTCCAGGCCTGAGGGCCTGGGAGGCCGCTAGAGTAGCGGAAAGTAACACCCTGACGCTGAACTTGTTGGCACTCTGCGAGGCGTGCGGCCAGAGTGGCGGCGCCTTCCTCATCGAGCACCCGGAGGGCCCAGGGCAGGCGCCCTACCCATCCATTTGGAACACGACGGAGATGCAGGACTTCGAGACGAGGCGCTCGTCTCAGAGAGCGTGCCTGGACCAGTGCATGCTGGGCGGACGGACGAAGAAGCCCACATGCCTGAGCGGCACGCTGCAGGGACTGAAGGACCTGGATGAGCTGCGGTGTGACGGGCCCCATGCCCACGAGACGGCCGAGGGCAAGTTGGCCGACGGCACCTTCCGCACGAGCCCGCTGGCCCAGTACCCCGAGGGGATGTGCGAAGCGCTGGGCGCTTTGATTGTCCAGACCCTGGCCATCTTCGAGCAGACCGGTCTGGGCGGCACCGGGTGGCGAAGGCCGCCGGAGGCCGACAGGTCGGTCACCGCCTGGAGCTCGCGGAGCACTACGGCACCAGCGGTGGCCGTGCGGAACGAGGACGTGCTTCGCGGCCGTGGGCTGGTGCTGGACGGGCCGCAGATGGCCTTCTACCTGCACGTCGACGACGGGGTGGCGATGGCCGGTGGCAGCGGCTGTGGCCCACGGGCCACGGAGAAGATGCACCATCTCGCGGATGCCTTGGCCGAGGCCGGCTTCGTGGTCACCGACCGCACGGAGGCTAGCGACATGCAGAAGGTGCTGGGCTACGCGCCACAGGCGCGCCCAGCGCAGCTGCGCTTGCCCCCGAAGAGGGCGCGGGAGCTGGTGCGGCAGCTGGAGGAGATGGGCGCCACCCGCACCCTCCACACCGAGGAGCTGCGCTCGCTCTTGGGGGTGTGGATCTGGGGCGCCCTGCTTCGGAGGGAGCTACTATGCATACCCAGCGCCGTCTTCAGGCTCCTGGAGAGGCACCCGCACCAGCGGGTGTGTACCTGGGCGACCGTCCGCAGGGAGCTGCGAGCTATGGCGCAGGTAGTCCCGTTGATGTACGCCGACCTGGGAGCCCCGCCAGCCCCCGTGTATTTCGCGGCGGACGCCATGGGCGCCAACGTGGAGGACGACGGCGGCTGGGGCATACTGGTGACCGACATGAGCGAGGACATCGCGAAGGACTTCATCGACACGGGCGGCAGCTTGGGCTACACCGTGGCGCGGCTGGACGGCGAGCTCACTGGACTGCGACGGCCCGAGCAGGTCATCCGACGGACGAAGCCCTTCAGCCTCCTGCCGGATCGCGTGTTCAAGCCCGACGAGGACTGGACGATCGTGGGCGCGGGGAGGTGGCGGACGGCCGACCACATCACGCTGGGCGAGGGGCGCTGCGTCGTGAAGATCAGTAGACTGGCGGCCGCCACTCCGGCCCTCCACCGCACCGTGCTGCCGATCCTGGAGGACAACCAGCCAGTCTCAGGCGCGGTATGCAAGGGCAGGTCCCCGGCGCACCATCTGAACCACCTGTTGCGTCAGAAGACCGCAGCAGGGTTAGCATCTCGCACAAAGATTTTGATTCCATGGGTGGAGACGCTCAGGCAGCCTGCTGATAAGATATCGAGGTGCCTGACTCGTGCTGAGCTCCGCGGCCTACCTCATGTCGGGGCCGAGGAAGCTGGACAGCACTTCTGTTGAGAAGGTTAAGCCGCACACCCTGGCGGCTTACAGGGCAGCGGCTATGAAGTTCGTGACCTACCTGGACGAGCACGGCTTCGTCCCCGACGGGCCCGAGCAGTGGGGCGACCTGCTTGTCGAGTACAAGAACGACATGCAGATGACCAAGTGCAATTTCGAGTACGCCGTCGCGGCGGTGGAGTTTGTCTTCCCACGTCTGAGAAGGAGGCTGACGTGGTCCCACTCGGTGATCGATGCATGGCGAGTTTCGGCAGAGGTGAAGCATGCGCCGCCGCTCGGCCGCGCGCCTGCTAACCTGGCCGCTATCTACTTCTCCTGCTGGGGAGTACCGCGGCTGGGCGTAGGCCTGCTGCTGCAGGTGGATCGCGGCCTGCGCCCGTCGGAGATGCTTCAGCTGCGAGCAAAAGACATATCCTTGCCATCGTCTAGAGGGGGACCGGATTTGCAGCCAAATTGGGTCATCAACCTGGGGGCCAAGTCGGGCACAAAGGCCAAGAGAATGCAGTTCGCCATTATTTTGGAGAAGGGCGGAGTACTGGAGAACCTCCTACACCGAGTAGTCTTGGGAACGCCGCCCGAGGGGCTCCTCTTTCCCTATTCTCTCGTCGACTACAGGCTTCGGCTCAAGCAGTTTGAAGCAGCCTTGGGCCTCGACATACACTGGACGCCTCACTCGGCGCGCGCAGGGTTCGCCAGCGATTCCGTGGCTCGTGGTGTCCCCTTCCAGGACATCAAGGAGGCAGGACGGTGGCTCACGGAGTCCAGCCTCCGCATCTACGTGGACGTTGTCACCGCCTCCAGGGTCCTGGCTCAGGCTGAGCAGCGAGGAATCGCACCGCTCATCCGCGAGGCGGCCGAGAAGCTGCCCAACTACTTCCCGGAGGGCATCTTCGGCGAGGGTCAGGGCATCCAGCATGCCGCCAGCGGGCTGGCGAAAGGGCCAGGACGGCTCCTGGGTGCTGCCTGCGGAGGGAGTCCCTCCAGCGCCGCTGGCGGGGGGCCGCCGGGCGGCCTCGCCAGCACCCCGAGCGGCGCCAGCCCAGCCGCCTGCGCCAGCACTAGGCGCACTGGTGGATGGGCTGCTGGCGGGTCCGCAGCAGCCGGGGGATGCAGCAGCGGGCGCGGGCGCGGCCGAGGCCGAGGCGCCGGCGCCAGCGGCCCCTGGCGTGGGAGCACTGGGGCCCCCGCAGCCGCTGGTGGCGCAGCCGCTGGCAGCGGGCGCGGCCGCGGGGTCGAGACGCGCGCGCTGGAGCAAGTGGTCGCTGCTGCGCGCGGTCTGGCTCATCGCAAGGTGGTGCGGACGATCAACCTCGCGAGGAGTGACGTGGGCGGCGGTCGCCGCGATGCTGATCGGGTGGCGCTACATGGCTGGGCCGCTGACCCACGTCGGGACCATGATGGGCGTCGTGGCCAGCGTATCTGTCTCGGCAGGCAAAGTGGTCGACAGCAGCCTTGGGGCAGTCATCACGGCGGCACAAGGCGT